CAGGCCCCCCCCCACCGCTCCCAGGCCCTGCCGGTCACTGTCCGCGGCAGCCTGGCACCCGGAGGAGCGAATTGTGCAGAGACAAGGCGCGATCTGCCCCAGCCATGGACCGGAAGGTGGCCCGAGAATTCCGGCACAAGGTCAGAGCTGCTAGGGGCGCCCCAAGCGCCCCGGGCCCCTCCCTTTCCCAGTGGGTCCTGAGGGCTCCGGGTAGCCTGGGATCCCTGATGATGCCAGTGAAATGAGGGAGCAGCACTGGGGCTCCCGTGTAGGAACTGCGGATCTGATCTTTGTCCCTTCTCCTTCTGCCCTCCACGGGCTGGGACGTCTTTAGAGTTGGAATTCCTTCCAGCCCTGGCCTGAGACGGGACAAAGTGGGCAAATCCCCCAGCTCCTAGTGCCCCAGCTCAGTGGGAGCATGTGGAGAGGGTGGGGGCAGTGTCTGAGAGTTAGGGAACTGTCTCTCTCTCTCTCTCTCTCTCTCTCTCTCTCTGTATTTTGACCTCAAAACCCTTCAGGGAGCCCCCCCCCCCTTCCCTGCATTTCTTAGGGCATTTCTTAGGTCCCCAAAAAGAGAAGCGGTTGAGGAACTGGTGCTGGCCCGTGGGCAGTGGGAAGAGGGAGGTGGTCCAGAGAGTCAGCCAGAACCTTCCCCAAAGCCACATCTCCCCCTGCAGGTCCCACTGGGGCCTCATTTGTGGTGGGGAGTCCCGACCATCACTGAAAGCTGCTGGATTTCACCCAGGGAATTTCCAGAACAGTTCCCAGAGCTGTGCCCGAGCCCCGAGACCAGAGAGGACCATCCGGCAGAGCCAGGGGACCTCCCCACCAGGCCTAGAGTGAAGCCAAGGGTGCCTGGAGCTACCCACAGGCCCCGCCTGAGGGACTCACAACTGTGTGCCCTTTCTCCCTCCCAGAGCCCAGAGGGGTCCTGTCTTTACACCAAGCCTACCCTCTTCTCAGGCCTGAGGGTAGAGCTCAGATAGACAAGATGAGGGTACTTAACCCCTCTCTCCCCACAGAGAGGCCCAGGGGAGCCAAGGAGCCAGCCAGTGCAGGGCCACAGGGGCTGAGCGCCAGGAGCCAGGGGTCAGTCATTCACTTCATAAACATGTTTTGAGCACCCATTCTGTGCCAGACCCAGTCTCTGCCCTCAAATTGTTGGCTCTGTGAGTGGGAGGCAGACCCTACACGAGTAATTACCTGCAGCTGGGCTGCTGAGCGGGGGATCAAGGTTTGCTGGGGCACAAAGCAGGCAACTCATACTGGCAGAAGTTTCCTAACAACGAGGCCTTGGGCATCCTGGGGTGAGCGATAGCTGGGGGGAGTGTGCGGCAGTGTTCACTGGTGTACCCTCTTGCAAAGGGACGTGAGGGGAGACATTTTGGCAGCAAGGGCGTCTGGTGAGTGTAAATTTCAGACAACCCACTTTCAAGGATCACAACCTCGCGTCCCCCACCCCAAGGCTCAGGCTTGAGTTTCACTTTCCTACCCCTGGGCTGAAAGTAAGGCCGGGCCCTCTTTTGCCTTCTCCCCGGGGGAGGGGGTGGGGGAACTAGTCTTGGTCTCTTTTCAGAGAATTAACTCTGGGGCCCCAATGTCTGCGTCAGCCCCTGGGTTAGCCCCTGCTCCTCTTCACCAGGCCCCACGGGCTCCAAAGGGCCTCAGGCCTCTGTCTCCCCCCCTCCCCCCGGCTCTTCCTCATCACAAGTCATTACCTATTAATGCCCCTGTGAGTGAAGGCGGGGCAGGCGCCATGCTGGGCAAGGCCTGGGCTGGACTTTGTGCCCTGCAGCTTGGGAGGCAGCAGTGGCCCTCCCCTCCCAGGCTGGAGATCATTCATGAAGGAATAGGGAGAAAGGAAGAAGCAGCTGAGGACAGAGAGGGGCTCACGGGTATAGAGGGTGAAATCAACTACTTGCTGTCGATTGCTTTCTGAATGTTCCCTCAGTGTTTCACAGCGAATTGATCCACTGGGAATGATTTGTATTCTAAATCCATAGTGCCTTAGACTCTAAGGCTTAGAGGTAGTGTGTTGTCCTGGACAGTGCTATGTGACCTTGAACCAGCTATTAACCTCTCTGTGCCTCCGTTCTCTAATTAAATGAGGATAGCAATCGTGTTTAACTAGTAAGGTTACTGTGAGTGCCGGAGGAGATCTACACACGTGGAAGGAGCTTAACTCGACCCTGGCATTTAGTGAGGCCTCAACCACCGTTCACTGCTGTTGTCTATTATCTGGGGTTGCACAGAATTAGGTTCAAATTGCAACCCTGTCAACTCATGAGCCACGTCATCCTCCAAGTGTTAGTTTTCTCAGTTATGAGGTGAGGTTTGTAGTGCTTCCCTTTAAGGACGGGAGATATGAAATAGGAACTCAAGTGCTGGCTACTCGGGGCACATAGTAACCGTTTGATAAATGGACATCCTTTTCCCACCGATGCCTTCGGAGCCACAGGAGTCTGTCCCTCTGGGCTTGTGCAGGTTGCCAAGGCCAACGGGAGCATGTGCATGGCCTTCCTGATCACACGGGTACCAAGGGGAGGGAAGGATGGCAGCAAAGAAGGCTGCCCCCCTGCTCACTCACCTGCATGGTGCAGGAGCTTGGTTACTCATTTGCTCAAAAAGTATTTATTGCCTGTGGGTATCTGTAGTGTACCCTGCCCCAGGCCAAGCATCTGGAGGTGAGGTGGAAATACATAAAAAGGTCAGAAAGAGTCCCTGCCTTCTAGGGATCTCCTCCTCATTCATTCATTGATGCATGCAGTAAATATCAACTAAGCTCATAATATATGCCAGATAATATTTTAACCATTGAATAATAAAACAAAGTCCCTGCCCTCTTAGATAGCACATTCTAGTAGGGAAGACAGACAGTTAACAAGTAAACCAATAAAGGTATCATATAATACCAAGTAATAATAAATGCTATGAAAACTAAACCGGGGTGAGGGGATAGAGAGTAATGAAGGGGTACTCTCTGTATAGGGTGGTCAGGAAGGCCTCTCTGAAGAGGTGATATTTGAGCAGAGACCTGGAAGAAGTAAGGCAAGGAGTCTTGGGATATATACGAAAGAGCATTCCAGGAGTGGGAACAGCAAGTGCAAAGGTCCCGGGGCAAGGAGATGCTTGCCTTCTTTCAGAAGGGCAAGTACGATGGTGTTTCTGAGAGGAATTCAGAGAGTGGTGGGAGAAGGATCAGAGGTGGTGGGGGGCGGGGTGCTGGTAGGCCATGGTCAAGACTTTGGGATTTGTTATGTGATGAGAAGCCAGCAGGGGAGTGACATGACTGATTTACATTTAAAAGGAATTGCTCTAAGATTTGAACATAAACTTCACAAAAGAAGATACATGAAAGGCCTATAGGCATGTAAGTAAATGCTCTATATCATTAGTCATTAAGGAAATGCACATTAAACAATGAGATAACATTTCACACCCTCCCGAGTGGCTAAAACGGAGAAGACTGACCATAACAAGTGTTGGTGAGGACGGAACAGCTGGAGCTCTCGCATGTTGCTGCTGCAGTGAATACAAAATGATACAACCATGTTGTAAAATATGTAGCTTGGCAGTTTCTTGTAAAAGTTAAACATACATTTACCATATGAGCCACCGATTCCACTCCTAGATATTTACTCAGGAAGTGAAAACACATGTCCACAAGACTCATACCTAATGAGAAATGGATGCACAAACTGCAATATACCTACACCGTGGACTATCACCCAGTCATAGGAAGGCACACAATGACACAGATGAATCTCAGACACATTCTGCTGAGTGCAACACCGAGAACACAAAAGTATGTTCTGTATGATTACATGTATGTGAAGGGGATGGGAGCGGGGCTGACGGTAGAGGAAACTCTGAGATGATGAGCTGATTTGGGTGTTGGTCACACCAGTGTAGAAATTTGTTGAAACTCATCAAACTGAATATTTAAAATAAATATTTTTTTAAAAAAGAAACTGCTCTGACTGCTGGTAGAGAGCAGACTAAGAGGGCCAAGAGGGGAATCCAGTTAGGAGGCTCCTACAGTAGCCCAGGCCAGAGGCAGGGGCTGGGACTAGGGTGAGGAGAGGTCAGACCCAGGATACATGTTGCAGCCATTCCTGTGGGCTTTGTTGATGGGTTGGCTGTGGGTGTGGAGAGAGAGACATCAAGGGTGACCTACATTTTGGGAAAAGGAGCAGGTTGGTGGAGACAGAGTGGGGGATGGTGGAAACGAAGGGTTCCATTTTGGATGTTTTAAGTGTGAGACACCTATTAGACCTTCCAATGGAGAGGTGAGTGAGAAGGCCATTAGTGGTGGGAGTGTGAAGACTGGGGAGAGGTCTGTGCTGGACACAAGTCTCAGTGAGTCCTTGGGGTGTGAATGGTAGTTCAAGCCCTGAGACCGATGAGGTCACTTAGGGAGAAAAGGCTCGGGACACCCCAACCTTTAGAGGAGAAGGAACAGCAAATAAGGCAGGAGAACCAGGAGAAGGCAGCGTGATCAGCTGTGCCAAGCGCTGGGTCAAATGCTACCAACTAGTTGGCAAGATATGAGTCTTTTGAAAAGATGAAGGATAATAAAACAAGAGACAAGCAACCCCAGCGCTATCTGGGATGCAAGCCGTGAAGGCCCGGGAAGAATGTGCCTGGGCCCATTCATCCCGCCAGCATTTACAAAGGGCCCACTCTCTGCCCACTGCTGAGACTATAGACTGTGTACCATCTATTCTTACCTCGTTTTATTTAACAAATGCTGAGTACTTACTATTTGCCCGGCACTGTTCTGAGCATTTGACAACTAATCACTCATGAATCACTTTAAAATTATGAATCCCTCAAAGAAGGATGAAATCCTATGGAACAGATATTTGAATCCCCATTTTTCAGGTGAAGCAGAGAGATGCAGACCTGGATGGGGGAGGAGCTTGTTGGTCTCACTCTCCACACTCCCCCGAGGCATGTGCCTGGGCCACACACACATTAGTGGGGACACAGGCGGGTAAGAGAGAAAGTACAGCACGGCTCGGTGGGTCCCCGGGCCGGGGTGGGAACAGAGTGTGCGGAGAATGACAGGACGGGCTTTGTGGCGGAGCCCGGAGAAAGGCTGGACCAAGGCGAGCTGACATTTGAGCCAAGGAGTCTTAGCGGTGGAAGAAGAGGTCACAGAGGAAATGATGCTGGCACCGCCATCAATAATAGCTAATGTTTCAGGCCAGCCAGTCAGGTGGGGAGCAGCTGGCTCATCCAACCGGAAAACTGGAGAGTCTTACGAAGAGGCCACATAGAGGGAAGGGCAGGAGCACATGGACCAACAAGGCTTGTTAACACAGCCTGAGAGGAGCAGCAGCCAGAAGCCAGGGCTCCTGAAGGCGAGGGAAGGGAGGGTTCCCCCAAACAGGGGCAGCCATGGCCCAGACAGCATCTGCAGCCTCAGGTGGGGGAGCCCGCCTTTAGGTGATCCAGCGTGGTGGGAGCCGGAATCAGAACCCATTCCCCTTCTCCCCACCCCGCCCCACCCACTGCTGAACACAGCAGGAAGCTGAGGGCAGGAGCTCAGGCAAAGCTTCCTGGGACACAGGGCGTGTGGCGAAGGCTGGCGAGTGGGTCTGGAGGTGCAAAGGAAGAGAATCAGCACATGTTTTGGGGCCCGGGCACTCTCCTAAGTACTTTGCATGCATTCACTCATTTAATCCCCACAGTGGCCCAAGGTCGAGTGGAACAATATGCATTATTTAATTTGTTCTTGCTCTCTTTTTCCTTCTTTGGCTGGGTGCACACATGGAGTTGAATTTGCATGAGCTGAAGGTATATGCTTCCTCTCTCCTGAATGGCCATACCACACAGAGGAATGCCGGGAGCTGAGGCTGCAGGGGGCCCAAGGTCACACCTAGAATTTGCCTCTTGTGCCCCAGACAAGGGGCCTGACCCCCCACTTCTCCCTGCTATATAGGCCTGTAGCACAGAAATAGTTGAGCACCAGCTAGAGAATGAAGGAGACCAGACACAAGGTCAGACACAAAGTCAGCAGAGGTGAGGGGATTGACGTGATAAATAGACCTCCCAACAGTTATTTGTAGACGGTGGCTCCTTAGGATTTCTGTGCCCATCATTGAGAAGGGCTCTAAGAAAAGGGAAGGCTTTCTAGATATAGTTGGAGAAAGAAGACATGGTGTCTCATACACAATAGGTGCTCCATAAATGTGTATTAGACAAATGCATACAAAAAAAGGTTGTACCTGGGAAGTGGATACCATATGGTGGTCTAGAGAAAGCAGAGGTTTTGGAACCAGTGGGCATAGGGTGAAGGCTCAGCTTCCCTTCCTCTCTGAAATTAATAAAGAAATATATATATATATTAAAAAGGTATATCTGGGAAGTGGATGCCATATGGTGGTCTAGAGAAAGCAGAGGTTTTGGAGCCAGCAGATATAGGGTGAAGGCTCAGCCCTGCCACTTCTCTGAGCCTCTGTTTACTCATCTGTGAAATGGGGATAGGATTGTCCATCCACCTCAGAGCATTGTTGGGAGGTTAAAGGCATTACGTGTAAACTTCCTCAGACGCGGTGAGCAGTTGGTAAATAGAGTCTGTCCTGAATGAGGGAGCCAGGCAAGAAGGGGCTCAGCTGGGAGGCTGGTGAGGAAGCTCCAGGCTGCGCGTGGTCAGGAAAGACTCTGGAAGGAGGGGCTTGCACTCCCCTTAAGCAAAGGCAGGGTTCGAGGGAAGGAGGGAGGACAGTCCATCTTGTGTGGGTCTGGGACTTACTCTTTGGTGACAAGCTGAAACTGAGCGAACAGGAGAAAGATCCAGGAGGCTGTGGCATGTGTGTGTGCTGAGGAGATGGGGAGGTGGTCACCCAGGATTGGGCCAAGAGGTTGGAAGGAAGGTTCCAGATTAGAGCAACTGGAGCTCACTTGTCATTCAGCAGACACCACTGAGCACTACATGCCCGTGTGCACGCCACTGAGTGCAGGCGCTTTCCTGGTACCTGAGTGCGAGGTATCGGGAGAAACCCACCCAGCTGATCTTCAGACTGCGGCTGGGCTGTCCTCCTGGCGAGTTTGCTGGGACCCAGACTCCAGGAGGAGGGGATAGACCACATAAGTTTTTAAAAATTATTTAGGAAGTGAAAGTTGAATTATGCTGGTGACGTTACTGTGTGTCAGGCTTCTAGAGCAAGTTCCATCTTTCTCAGTTGTCTGTCTCGGTGCCTTTGAAAGCCCAGAGAGTGAGGTGTGAGTGTGTGTTTTCATGTGGGTGTGGTCTGACAATGAAGCAGATGGTTTGCCACAGGACCTCCATGTGACTTGATCACTTAGATTTGTATTTAAAGAGCATCCCATATAAACCAGATGTGTTTTCCCAGCTGTTCTGGTATATAGATAATTTTTTGAATGGACACATTGAAATGATAGAGGGAGGTGGGTCATTCTGAGTGAGTCCAAGTCCCACGTAGGAAATGGTGGAGATGACCCTGGAGAAGGAGGGCCGGGCGGAACTCAAGACCAGGCTTTGAGTGACTGAACGAACTGGTGACATCAGGCTAGAGAGCTGAACTTGGCAGCTGCCTCCGAGGACTGGTAGGATGTGACTTCTGGATGCTGTGGTCAGCATTGGAGGGTTGCCGACAAGGACGGGGACCCTGGGACCCCCAGGAACAGGCTTTTTTCCACAAAGACCATCTCCAGGTGATCTGTGGTTGGCCGGGAAGGAGAAAAACAGCATCCTAGACTGTAACACTGGAAATTGCTTTTGTCTTCTACTCCCACTTTCCACCCAGTGCATCAATGCTGCCTGCCTGCCGAGGACAGCGGGAGGCATTTCTGCAAGGAGGGGTGGGAGAGAGCGGCAGCCTTACGGCCTCAGCCAACAAGAGATTCTCTCTCCTCGCCTTCCTCTCATGTGCCCCCACAGCTGGAGTGGGGCTAGGAGCCATTTGGTCAGAAGGTCCTCACTCCAACCAGAGCAGATGGGATTTTTATGCTCCCCTTGGAGAGCAGAACATCTGTGGTTCAGTCATTCAAGAGAGTGTCTTCTCACTCATGATGAATCAGGCCAAAAGGGTTGGGCCCAGGGTGCTGGGACAGACTTACCCCAGAGCCCCTGAGATACTCATAGAAATAGGCAAAGCTGTGCTGACCCTCATCTGAGGACCTATCGGGGGGAGCTGGCAGCTGAGGCCCTGGACCATGTTGTTGGGCCTGGAGGCTGCTGGAGGCAGGGACCCAGTGATCCCTCCGGTCTCTAACCTTGCCCTCTCACTCAGCCTCGGGCTGAAGAGGAGCCAAAGATACAGCGTGTAGAGAATCGCACTGAGCTGTCCCAGGGAGTGGAGCTCGAGGCTCCTGGGCCCCCAGCTCCCCTGGGACTGAGGTGCTAATGAAACAGCTCCTGACCCTGACCTTGGAGTCCCAGCCATTGACGTCAGCAAAGATGAAATAAGTAACCTGACTCTCCCCCTAGTGTGTGTGTGGGGAGCAGGGGGAATAGTCAGGGACGTGGGGAGGGGAAGGAGTGGCCAGAAGTCAGGGCCAACCAAGCTTAGGCCAGGAAGAGACGGTGGGGTGGCCCCTGGCATCGGTGACACAGGAGAACCCGGTGGTGGGGTGCTTCCAGCCGGTGGGATGTGCTATCTGAGCGAGTGGCCCAAATCCTTTCTGAAAGCAGTTATCCAGCACTATAGCCACTATCAGGTAAGACCAGGAGCCAACACTGCCGTGGTCACCCTGGACACTGAGCTGCAGCCCCGCTGTCACTGGGCGTATCGCTGTCATATATGTGCAGATGCGTGTGCACCCACCTGGGGTGAGGCTCGGCCTGCAGGCCTGCACATCTGGATGCGCAGAGTACTCCTGTGGCCACGCCTGGGTGGTCTGCACAGGTGTGATGTGTTGGGGTTAGAGGGTCAGCCTGGCCTGTGGCTTTCCTCCTCTCCTCATAGCCCCAGACCTGAGCTGATGCTGAGGAGGTCCCCAGTGGTGGTCTCCCCCTCCCTGGGATCTGCACTGGGGGTGCTGGGCCTGCCGCTGTAATTCTGCTCTTGGGTTTTCCAGGTGGATTTTCTGATTGAAAATGACGCCGAGAAGGACTATCTCTATGACGTGCTGCGGATGTATCACCAGTAAGTGTGCTGAGTCTAGCTCCTGTGGGCCACCTGGGGACCTCTGTCTGCAGGGAGCCCTGGGATGGGTCGTTTTATGACAGGAGGACCTCCCCCACCCATGCTGGGGAGCTCAGGGATGGAGCAGATGCTGGGAACGAAATGGACACATCATTCAGGTGTCTCAGCAAATATTTGCACAAACACTCTGTGCACGGTCTGTACTAGGGGCTGGGGCATAGGTGTGAGCATGCCCGACTGGTCGCTGCCCTCAGCTTGCTCACAATGTGATGGGGAGGGGGCATCAAGTAGCCAGATAGGCTCCATAGAGTGTGCCTGCTGGAATAGGACAGGACATGCCAGCTGGCCCCAGCACCTGCGTCAGATGTCTCTTATGACCCACCTGCTTTTTGACTCATTCAGCATACATTCATAAGCTCCTGCCACTTGCTTGGCACCATGCAGAATCCGGTAATGAATAAGATCTACTTTCTTTCCTCAGCTAGTTCATGGCCTAGAGAGGGGAGGTGGACACCCACTACAAATGCAAAAAAACCTGCCAGCTGGCCCCAGCACCTGCGTCAGATGTCTCTTATGACCCACCTGCTTTTTGACTCATTCAGCATACATTCATAAGCTCCTGCCACTTGCTGGGCACCATGCAGAATCCGGTAATGAATAAGATCTACTTTCTTTCCTCAGCTAGTTCATGGCCTAGAGAGGGGAGGTGGACACCCACTACAAATGCAAAAAAAAAAACAAACAAAAAAAAAACCCTCTAATATAAGTTATAGTAAAAGAAGTTCTGAATATAATTAAAAGCAGTAAAAAAAAAAATATTAAAAGCTGGATGTGAAGAAAGGGAGTTTTCCTTTCTAACCACGGGGGAAAGGACCAAAAAGGCTTTAGCACGGGTTTGAAGGGTAAGAAGGATTTTGGTAGGTGGGAATACCAGGGAACGACATTCCAGGATGAAGGAACAGCATTAGCAGACCGAGATGAAGATGTGAAAGCACAGGTGTGGCTGGGAAGTGACAAGTAATCTGGGGGAATAGACCCCAGGGCTCATGGAGACCTTAGACAGCCAAACCTGGAGCAAGTCCCTGGAGAAGGCCAGGGAGGCCCTGAGGCTGCCAGGGAGAATGGAGTGTGTCCTCTGGGCAGGGGGGAGCCATTGTAGGGTTTTGAGGAGTGACTTACATTTAGAAAAGACTAGATGAGAGTGAGCAAGTTGGCAGGCAGCTGGAGAGAGGCAGGCCAGAGACACTGAGGCCTGAACAGTGTGAAGAGAAGGCGAGTGAGAGGTATTGTGGAGGTAGAATTTACAGAGTTTAGCTACAGGTTAGAAGTGGGAGACTGGGGGAGGGGAGGGGCAGGAGGGGTCACCGCCATCTCACAGGAGGTTTCCTGTCTGTAGAGATCCTGGGCTTCGGAACTGGGCAGAGTGGAGTTTGAATCCTGACTTGATTTCATTTGCAAAATGGGTTCCCAACCCCTACCTCACGGGTTTCCTGGCGATGCTGATATGAGAGAACAAAGTTCTTCTGAGACAGCTTGCCCAGAGGTGGGGCTCTGGCTTTTCTGGATTCTCAATTCCAAGGCCTGGGCCCAGTGGGTGGGGACCCAGTCCAGGACTGCTTTCTCTGGGAATCTGTGGGTCTCAGAGGTCATGGTCCTGGGTGAGACTCCAGGTCCCCCTTGTCTCTGCAGGACCATGGACGTGGCTGTGCTTGTGGGAGACCTGAAGCTGGTCATCAATGAGCCCAGCCGCCTGCCACTGTTTGACGCCATCAGACCCCTGATCCCGCTGAAGCACCAGGTGGAGTACGACCAGCTGACCCCCCGGCGCTCCAGGTGCGGAGGGAGCCCCCAGGCTAGAGACACGGCTGGGCGAGGTCACCCTGGGGTGGACAGGGTCCCTCACTAGTGGAATGGGAAGCACTGGTGGTCAGGCCAGAGCTGGGCCATCACCCACCTCTCTGACAGCAGGAAGCTGAAAGAGGTGCGTCTGGACCGTCTGCACCCCGAAGGCCTGGGCCTCAGCGTGCGTGGCGGCCTCGAGTTCGGCTGTGGGCTCTTCATCTCCCACCTCATCAAAGGCGGCCAGGCAGACAGCGTTGGGCTGCAGGTGAGCGGGCAGAGTCCTCAGGCTTCCTGCCTCCCCCACTCACTTGCTGGGCTGCGTGGCTTAACATGGTCACTCACCTTTCTGAGACTTTGGGAGAGGAAGACGCTGCCGCATCCTGATAGGTTTCCCTCAGGCTGCAGGCAATCGCCTGTTTTATTGAGTCCCATTGGGAACATGGCTCCCCCTGATGCTGCTGCAGCTGCTGCTGCTCTTCCCCCCACCTCCCCTACTTCCTAGTTATGTCCTGACACCTGAAGCTTTGGGCATGTAGCCTTTTACTGGAAGGTAAAAGGAAATCCGATGTACTCTCCTAACTGTCCTGGCTTTGTAGCTGTGTGACTGCTGAAGACACTTAACCCCATGCCTCAGTTTCCTCATCTGTAAAATGGGAATGATGATGATGATGATGATGATGATGATACTATCTACCTCATCAGGTTGTTAACTCATCTGTAAAATGGGAATGATGATGATGATGATGATACTATCCACCTCATCAGGTTGTTAAGAGGAGAATTCATATTATGAAGTACTTATAACAGTGCCTGGCACAAGTGCTCCTGTGCTTGTTAGGTAAGCAGAGAGGGAGATTGAATAAACATCAAAGATGTGCCAGGTAACATGCTCACAACCAGCCCTCGTTGTATGCCTTGGCTGTATCATCCTGTTCCCAGAGCTGATAGCGACTCGCTCTTGACTAGTGTCACAGCCAGCAAGTGGCAGAGCCAGGATTTGAACTCAGGTCTCCTGACTGCCAAGCCCAGGGATCTCTCTTCAGCCCCTCCCCCGGGGTCCCCGCAGCTCAGTGTCTGAGCAGAGATGGGCAGACCTCCAGGTCTCGCTCCTGCCGGAGCCCAGAGCTGTGTTTTTGTATGTCCAGATAAAAGAGGCCCTCCCACCCCCGCCCAGAGCTTCCAGCATGTTTGTTATCAACACCCCAATCCGGGCTGCCAAGCCAGGGGCTTTAGGGGCCTGGGGGGAAGGGTACCAGACACCGTGGGGTGGGAGGTGGAAACCGGGAGCTGACAGACACCGCTTTGTTCTAAATCCCTGTCTCACGGCTCGCCGGTGGCTTCTGAAATTTCAGCCGCTTCATTATTCCTCTCCCGTGCGCACATTTTCCAGCCCAGAAATGCGGCCAGAGAGAAAGCACAATGAGCTCCTCTCCAGGCATCAGCGGAGGCCCCCTTTTTTTCCAGGGCAAGCTCTCCTTCTAGGACAAGCACTTCTCAGCGATGCCTCCATGCCTGGGGGCTTTGGGCCATTTTAATGAAACAGTTTTATCTTCCCGCCTGTTTCTCAGGCTTATGCATTATCAACCCTTTCTCGGGCTGGCGGGCTCATCTCTCCTTTGTGCCGCTGCCCCTCAGATCGTCATTTCACTGTGGCCCTGGCACAAAGGGCCTTTTGCAGGGCTCCGTGAGGGAGCGAGAGGGAGAGGAAAGCTGATCCAGCAACCTGAGCCGGGGGCTGCGTGGGAATCGTTCTGCCTGGGGTCCTGGGCAGGTTCCCTTTAGGAACAAGACAGGGAACTTCACTCAGGGGAGCATCCATTCACCTGTCTGGGCTCATGTTTCTGGGGAGATCTCTTGCCTGGATGTGGCTGAAGGAAGATTCTGGAAGGCAGGGGAGGGGCATGTTCAGGCACAGCCTGGCTGGACTGAAGGTCCTGTTGATCTGACCCGTGAGGCTGGGCCCCCGGGTTGGGGGGCTTGGACCCACCCATAGGACCTAGCCCCGGAACCTCATCTCTCTGCTCTTCTCCCCCTATTGGAGATATTTTAGTGTGTGTTTTTTTAAAGTGTATCCTGTCTGAACCTACATCCTTTGCCCTGCACAGGGCGGTCTGTGCTGCCCAACCTGCTGTATGGTCCAGGGCTGGAGAATGATTCTGCATCCATGGTGGTCCCAGCCATAAAGTGGACAGAGCAATCCCTGCCTTTCCTGTGGGACTTGAGGGCTCTGACAGGTGGCAAGGATCCAAAGAGGGCAAGACACAGGGAACTGCAGCCAGGCTTGGCCAGGCGCCCTGCTTTTCTGTTTCCAAACGCCCTCGAGCAAACGCTTGTGGTCTGTCAGGGAAACCTGACTTCAAATCCCAGCAACACTGTCTGCTGGCTGGGTGACATTAAGCAAGTGGCTTCACCTCATCTGGTTAACAGAGATGCAGAGTTGTAAAAAGTCGGTGCAGGGGCTAGTAACGGTTCTCCTTACAGGAGATGGCCCCAGAAACCTAGACAGTTCTGCAGTGAGTCCCTCCCCGTGGCACCTTTTGAACCCCGTGCCACTCCTGTCAGCCCCCTGAGAAGATTAGGGTGTGTGTCCAGGTGTGGAAGGGAAGTGTTCAGGTGGCAACAATGAGAAGGTGACTCTGCCGCGGTGCTGTAGAAGGTAGGAGTTGACACTCCCTCCTGGACTGTCTGCCCGCCTGGCCCCTAGGCCCCCACTCAGAGTCAACATGTACCCACTAGTCTCCAAAGGGTCAGCACATGTGGTGTGAGCTAAGCCCCTGCTGGCCTGCACTGGCCTCAGGCTGGAGAGGGGCATCCAGGATCCATCCCTGTTTTATAGCTAACTAGAGGCCCAGTGCATGAAATTCATGCATGAGGAGGGGGGTGTCCCTCAGCCCAGCCTGCACCCTCTCCAATTTGGGACCCTCTCGGACATCCCTCTTGCAATCTGGAACTGCTGGCTCCTAACTGCTCACCTGCCTGCCTGCCTACCTGATCGCCCCTAACTGCCCTCCCCTGCTGGCCTGATCTGCCCTAACCGCCTCTGCCTCGGCCCCTGCCACTGTGGCTTTGTCTGGAAGGACGCCGGAAGACGCCTGGTCTAATTAGCATATTACCCTTTTATTAGTATAGATGGCTGTGTGGACAAAACATCACCTCCCTGGACTTCAGTTTCTACTGATGTCTGAGGTTCCTTCCAGCCCTGCAATTATTAAATGAGGAATTTCAAGCCTGATCCCCTGGCCAAGGTACTTGGAGGAGCCCAAGGCAGTGTCCACTAGGGGACAGTCTCACCACCGATCTGTATCCAGGCTGGCCTGGCAGGCCCAAGTGCCCCCTATCTGTCCCTGTATAAGGAGGGCTAAGTCCTGAGAAGAGGGATCTGATCAGAATATTTAGAGCTCAGGTTCAATGAAAAATAGCAATAACAACCATGTATTTATTATCTGTGGTCAGACACTGGCTGACTTTATATGTACACACTCACTTAATTTTCATGGCAACCACATTTCCCCATTTTACAGATGAGGGAAACAGGTTCAGGAAGTTCAATAGACATGCCCAACGTCACACAGCTAATAAGAGTAAGAGTATGGGTTTGAACCCAGGCCATCCAATGCCAAAGCCTTTTGTTCATTTGCTGTTCTTTGCTCACACCCAGAATGGGAATTCAGAGTCAGGGCAACGGCAGATTAAATGTCCATTGAGTCTCCATAGTGTGGAAAAAAAGGGATTGTGTGTGTGTGTGTGTGTGTGTGTGTGTGTGTGTGTGTGAGAGAGAGAGAGAGAGAGAGAGAGAGAGAGAGAGAGAGAGATGTGCGCTTGGGCCTGGAGTCCTGGAAGTTCCCCACCCCAACTCCGTTATGTTGTTGCAGGGAAGCCTGCTCCTTGTGGTGGGGTGGGAAGAGCTGCTTGAATCTGTGTGAAGGGTCACCCTCTGCATGGATTCTGGAACCTGTTGGTACCCCAATGGGGTGAAAGGGACGCCAGAGTTAGGTTACAGAGCCTTGTCTTCTATTCCCAGCGCCGCTACCCATTCTCTGTGCCCCTCCCCCACCATCTTAGGCTCTCCATCTGTGAAACAGGGCAGCAGAAAGACTCCTGGGAAGTGCCACTGTCCTGGGGTCCCTCAGGCTGTTGGAGGATGGGTTGGTTGTGACAAGGCACTAGGGCACATAGTTAGGCCACTGTCCCCTTTCCTGGAGAGCAGGCCCGGGGCATCTGGTAGTGAACCTGCCCGGCCACCCGATGCTCCCTCAACCTGTGCCTCTTCCCTGTGTGTGGCCAAGGTAGGGGACGAGATCGTCCGGATCAATGGGTACTCCATCTCCTCGTGCACCCATGAGGAGGTCATCAACCTCATCCGCACCAAGAAGACTGTGTCCATCAAAGTGAGACGTGAGTGAGGCCAGAGGGCAGGGGAGGGGGGGGTAGAAGGGTGGGGTGGTGCTAATGGTGGAGTAGGGTGGTAGGCAGCAGGGAATCAGCTCCTGGGGCAGGAGGGGAGGACAGAGGAGCCGCCCTAACCCCAGTGTCTTTCTCCACAGACATCGGCCTGATCCCCGTGAAGAGGTGAGCAGGACCCTCCTCTGAGGCAGACTCTTCCCTGTGGGCTCAGGGTCCTGGGGTTTGGCTTCCCGCAGGCCAGCACTGCCCCTGGGCCAGCGGTAACTGGGGGCTCCAGATGGGGCAGATCTGGACTTGGGGCCTGGTCTCTCCAACATCTCTAATGACCCCCCTTCTCATTTCATTTCCCATCAGCTCTCCTGACGAGCCCCTCAAATGGCAGTATGTGGATCAGTTTGTGTCAGGATCTGAGGTAAGGGCCAGGACCACCAGTGATGGGGTCTGGATGGAATGGTCTTCAAGGAGGGGCAGCTGGTCCAGAAAGGGGCCTTGCTCTAGGGATGTGCCCTCAGGGGCTTCACACATGCCCCTGTGCATCCAGAAAGCCCCTGTGGGTGGTGGGCCCTCAGCCAAGCCCAGCAGGTATAGACCTCTCCCCCAGGGACAGAATGGCCATCAGACTCACATGGGAATAGTAGTGCTTATGAGCTCAAATGGCCATTTTCACACATCTGACACCTAGTGACCCTTATTCTCTTTCCTCCAGGGCGGGCGGAACATTCTGGGCTCCCTAGGGAATCGAGAAAACAGAGAGAAGAAGGTCTTCATCAGCCTGGTGGGCTCCCGGGGCCTTGGCTGCAGGTGGGTGGCCAGCAGACCCCAGGAGGACCCTAATGCCTCTCCCTTTTCTCACTGCTGCTTCTGAGGAAACTTTCACCCACTGATGATACTTTGTGGTGCCTGGTTTCCCCTCTGAGTTTCACAACAGGCCTGTAAGGTCAGGGGGACAGCTCTTAACAGGCCCATTTTACAGATGAGGAAACTGAGGCCCAAAGAGGAACCATGTTCCTCTGGTGAGACCTCAAGCCACTGTATAGGCTTCTGTCCTGATGATCATCTCTGTCACTGTTCCCTTGTTACCTGTTGCCTTGTGGGTTTCCTTAAGGGGCAGCCAGGGAATTGCAAATAGGAATTAGATCACACCACGTACTCTTGTTAAGCATGCAGGTCTAGGGGTCAGCCCCTTCTCTGCCACCTATGAGCTCCAGAACCTGGACTAGCTACTTAACCACTCTGAAGCTCAGCTTCTCCCTCTATAAGTTGGGGATAATAATATCCACATTGTGAGGAGGAATGAGATGACAGAAGTATCAAGCTTAGTGCCTGGCAAGTAATAAGCAGTTGGTAAACATTAGCTATTATTATTTAAGTCATTCTTATTGTTTCCATTCATTCACATTTGCTCAATACTTTTCTGCCAAGTTTAAGTAATAAAAAGCCCCTCCTTTCTCAGAGATTGCAGCCTAATATCGAATCCAGCCACATAAACAGTTACAGTAATGAATGACAAGGTTTCTAATGGAGCTGCATTCTGCATCATGGATGGCAAATAGGTTTCCAATCCTGTGCTATCTCTAATCCATTAGTAGTGGCTGCATGGTGTACTGTTTTGAAAAGAACTCTAAGGTTGCATCCAGGCTTGGTGGGAAAGAGTGCTGTGATTGATTAGTGATCAATCTGGATGGGGAGAACAGTAGTGCAAATGCTTCCCTTGCTGTAGGCTGCATGGTGTACTGTTTTGAAAAGAACTCTAAGGTTACATCCAGGCTTGGTGGGAAAGAGTGCTGTGATCCATTAGTGATGTCTGCCACATCTGGGTGGGGAGAACAGTAGTGCAAATGCTTCCCTTGCTGTAAGTGTTTTAGGAGCACTGAGAAGAGAGCAACTATCTTAATCTTAGGATAGGAGAGGAGTTTCGTTAAAACCTTGTAGAGAAGATAGCATTTGAGCCTTAAGGAATGAATAGGAAAGTGCTAGAAGAGGAAATAGCACATGTGATGTATTGGGTGAGGGATTGGGTGGGGAGGCAAGGGTTACAAATAGTTGTCTGTGGCTCTTGCCACAGGTAGACAGTGAAGAGCCTTGGGTACTGAGCTCATGGGTGACCTGTATCCTGAGGGACCAAAGCCTGGAGACACAGGCAGAGGGAGCAAGGCCTTGAGAATGAGCGAGCGCTGAAGGCAGAGGCTCACCTGCATTTCCCATTTCTTCCACAGCATTTCCAGCGGCCCCACTCAGAAACCAGGCATCTTCATCAGTAACGTGAAGCCTGGCTCCCTGTCTGCTGAGGTGGGGTTGGAGGTGAGTGAGCCTGGGCCAGGGTCAGACTGTGACCACACAGTGATGGAGGCACACGTCTTCCCACACAGCCCTCTCTTGGCAGTCACTGGCCGATGATTCCTACCCATCCCCTAAGGGAAGCGTCACAGAGGGGGTGGCATTTGACCCTTTCTACAGTCTTCTCCAGCTCTGAGAGCCTTTATTCCTGAGCTTGGGACTGTAATAATAATGATCATTGAGTGTTTACTGGATCAGACAGTGTTCTAAGCCCTTTAAAATTCATGAGAACTCTGAGAATTAGGTACTGTCATTATCCCCATTTTACAAATGAGGAAACTGAGACCCAGAGAAAGTATGTGACTTTTCCTAGATCGGCTACCTAGAATGGTAGAGCTGTGATTCAACCCAAGGTGGTCTGATTACAGAGCCAGAACTTGTCACCTCTACTTTGGCATATTACTTCCTCTTTTTGTGCATCAGAATTCTCTCCTATAAAATGGGGTGATAGCCTTCCTTCTAGAGTCATTGTGTGAGTTAAATGAATCAATACACATGCTGAGAACTGGCATATAGTAAGGAACCGTTGAATGCTAGCTACCAGTTATGACTCAGCTATATGAGAAGTCCACGGGCTCCCATGTCTACATTCTGAGTGTTTAAAGCAAATATCATAAATTCAGCCAAAGGAATGACCCTCTAACAATATAATACTTGGCAGCTGATGAAAGACATGAGGCAGAGGGACCCTGAGTGGACTCCATCAGAGCTTTCCAACGCTCTGCTCATGAAGGAAAACTGAGGTGCAGTCACTTGAAAACCCAGCATCTGCCCTTGAGCCCCAGGATGAACCTTTCCTTCAGATAAGTGAGTTTACAGATAGTGCAGACATGCTGATGCCTCTCCATTTCTCCACCAGGCAGGGGACCAGATTGTCGAAGTCAACGGCATCGACTTCTCCAACTTAGACCATAAGGAGGTGAGACTCGGGATCTTCACCTACAGGCTGTTACACCTCTGCCCTCCATGTCTCACCCCTCCCACCCCCCACCCCCCCATGGTGTCTGAAACCTGTGCTCTCTAGAGGCCTGGACTGCTCTGGTCTGTCAGGCCTCAGCTGAGTGCCCACCTGTCCCCACAGGCCGTGAACGTGCTGAAGAGTAGCCGCAGCCTGACCATCTCCATCGTAGCTGGAGCTGTAAGTCCAGAGTGAGCTGCTGGGCCTCCATGACCCCTGACCTCCAGGCCCAGCCACTCAGAGCCCTGAGGTCTGCCACACACTCCCGAGAAGGGCCAAGGGTGTCTCCGTCCCTGAAGCTCTGACAGAGCAGAGGGAGAGGGTCTCTGCCCAGCCAGGGCACATGTGGGTCAGAGACAGCAGGAACCACAGTGCCTGACACTGGGGTCACAGTGCTGAGAAGACAGCCTTCATCTGGGCCCCCAAGGCTGTGGCAGTGGGAGCCCAGGTTTCCCAGGGGACTGAGCCTGGGGCCTCTTTTCTCCCCACGAGGGCCGGGAGCTGTTCATGACGGATCGGGAGCGGCTGGAAGAGGTGAGGCAGCGCGAGCTGCAGCGGCAGGAGCTTCTCATGCAGAAGCGGCTGGCGATGGAGTCCAACAAGATCCTGCAGGAGCAGCGGGAGATGGAGCAGCAGTGAGTGTGGCCAGTTAGCACGCCCCTTCCCTAGCCTCTCAGACCACATCCACCTTGCTTCCCGCCCATTGCATCCTGAGCCAACCTCATCCTCCCCTCCGAAGGCCTGTCCTCAGACCAGATGTGTCCAGTGGTGGTCAGTGTAAGCATCCCCTGCCTCCAGGCCACCAGGCTCCTCCATGCTTGCCAAAGAGAGCCCCTGATTTCCAAGACCCAGGAATATGGGGATGCAGTAGCTAACATCTGTTGAGTAACATCCATGTAGCTGGCGCTGTATTATAGCCTCGTGTATGTTACTGAATGTCATTTTCACAATAGCCCTGTGAGATGGATGGTATTAACCCATTTTACAGGTGAGGAGACTGAGACCCAGAGAGGGTAAGCCACTTGTGTGCAAAGTCACATGTGGCCAAGCGGGGACTCACAACAGGCAGCCTAGCTGCCCTGTCTGCGGTGATAAGTCCCGCCCCCACATGGGATGGTTGAGATGATGGGTTGAGAGAATAAATGGGGCAAGCAATTCATACATCAAAAACAATGTCAAAATCTAAATCCAGGTACATTCTAGGAGCTTGATAAGAATTTGGAAAGGGATTTTCCCATCTCTCCCATCACAGATTTAGCTTGAAAAACTAACCCTGCTGGTACCTCTGCCCACAGCCCTGGTCTTGGGTAGTCACCCAGCTTTGCCCCTGGGGTCTGGGGCCCTCTTCCAGGAGAACCTCCCTCAGGCCAGGTTCTGCCTATCATCAGTCACTGTATCTAAGAGTTTGGAGGTGGGTGCATAGTGTGGCCCACTCTGACCTGCACTCCGGTTCCGGCAGCACAGAATCTCTGCTCAGTGGTGCCAAACAAAACCCCACAGAGTACACGACCAGCATCCAAAGCTGGCCCAGGCACCCTTGGAGGGGAACCTGAAAGAAATAGAACTTTTTCCAAATCAGGAGTTAGCTACAAAGAAGAGTGAACTCCCCTTGCACAGACTTCAGCATGCCAATCTGCATTCGTGTTTCAGAAGGAAAAAGGAAATTGCCCAGAAGGCAGCAGAGGAAAATGAGAGATACCGGAAGGAGATGGAACAGTGAGTGCCTCCGCCCCATGCGTCCGCACACGTGTCTGTGTGTGGACGTGAGTGTGCTCTCAGAGGGTAGCAGAGGCCACCTCCAGGACCAGTTTACCTGGCCCTCTTGTCCCTGGTGGATCCTCCTTTATTTTTAGCCATTCCATAATCCTAGTACCGTAAAGCCATCCCATTCCAGTAACTAGAACATGGTCTTACGTAATTGCCAGGGTAGCATTCACACTCGATTTAGAATGCAAGAGCCAAGGACTCTGTAGTCTTCACCACAGCTAGAATCCATGGTCTCTCCCCAGGCTGGTTGAGGTTTCCCTACAGCAGGGGTAGGGAACCTTTTTTTAAAAAATATCTTTTCATTGATTTCAGAGAGGAAGGGAGAGAGAGATAGACACATCAATGATGAGAATCATTGATCGGCTGCCTCCTGCACACCCCCTACTGGGGATCGAGCCTGCAACCCGGCGAGTGCCCTTGACTGGAATCAACCCCAGGACCCCTCAGTCCGCAGGCTGATGCTCTATCCCCTGAGCCAAATTGGGGTGGAGAACCTTTTTTCTGCCAAGGGCCATTTGGATATTTATAACATCATTCAAGGGACATACAGAATTATCAACTTAAAAATTAGCCTTCCCTATTTGGTCAAACCTTTAATTAACTCACCCCTAATGCCTTGGCAGGGCCAGACCAAACGATTTCCCCACCCCTGACCTATAGGCAGAAGCTGGGCCCGTGAAGGTTCTGACTCTAATCACAGGCGTGGGGTCTTATTTCAGGATCGTGGAGGAGGAAGAGAAGTTCCAGAAGCAGTGGGAAGAAGACTGGGGCTCCAGGGAACAGCTCCTCTCATCTAAGACCATCAGCGCAGAGATGCACCCCATGCCCCTTCGCAAGCCAAAGTGTACGTATCCTGTGCTGGTGGGTGGGGAGTGGGCTTCCTTCTGGGGCCAGGAGGCTGGGGGGTGGTCCAGGCTGAGATGCTGGTCCCTCTTCACTCACCACCACCTCCCCAGGTGAATCGCCCTGGCCATCTGGGCTGCATGTGCTTCACAGAGGGGCAGCCATGTGCCAGGGCCTGTCTGCCAGGGCATTGGGGTGGGATGGATCTGTCTTCCCACCTTGTCCTCGAGGCCTGCTACCAGGCTCTCCCCCACAACACAGACACAGGCAGCTGGACCCTCCCCGTGCCCGTGGGCTGCTGAAGAGGGATTGGAGAGCTGTAGGGAAAGTGAACTGCTCGTGGGATTATCTTAGTTTGTTGGGTGTTGTATCTTCTTCCTGCTTGGGTCTGAATTGGTGCTGGGATGAAAGAGCAGCAGGAAAGGGGGCAAGGGGCTCACATGAGAGAAGACTCTAGTGGTCCAAGCTTGATGGGCAACTGTGGGAGGAGCTTCCCTGAAGTGACCCTGCCACCTGCATCCTTGTGCATTGGACCCTGCGAGGTCCCTCCACTCCAAGGATGGAATCAGGACTCCCAGGCACCAAACTGAGGCCATCCTGTGGCCTTGGGCCCCTCTGCCTTTATCTCCTTTCTTCATCTGAACTATGTTATGGTCCCTAGTTTTTGTCCAGGCCTCAACCAACTGCTCTCCTTTCCACTAGCTCTCAACTCCAACTCCCAGGAAGCCTCTTCAAGGGGCAGCTCACAGCACCAGGGCAAAGTGGGGGCTCACTCTCAGTGCTTCTTAAGTGGGCTCGTGGTGGGGAGCCAGGAGCAAGGCAGCTTGGGGGCCGTGGCAGCCACAAGTCCAGGATGCCTGGTTGGGCCTTTACTCTTTATAGCTGTTTTGATCATTGACATGGGGCAGGTTCCACTCCAGCTGACTGCGCTCAGCCGACCTGGGAACCTCCGGATGTGGGGTGAATCTGTATCCAAAGACCAAGGTTCCCCATTTCTGCTGTGTGGCAGCCATTTGGGATCTGTGATAGGGTCCGGACATCTCTGGCTCCAACTTTGAATTTTGCCCAAGCCCTAGAGGGACCTGAACTGGGGTTGATGAAGAGGTTCAGAGCCATCTGGATGGTTCCACCTCACCCTCCTTGATGCAGGGCAAGCAGCTCCCACCCAGCCACTCCTTCCTGGCAGGGGGCACTGTGTCATCTCAGGGTCCTCTGGGAAGGACAAAGCACGCTCTCATCAGCCTTCCCTGTGACATTCGGTATTAGTTGAGGATGAGGCCAGAGCTAAATTCCCGGTGAATAATCTGGGCTTTAGACAGGGAGTTAATTTGCTCTTAATGCGTGAAACAGGAGCTTCAGGGGAAGAGAGATCGATTTTAATTGCTTCTCCTGAGAGTAACCCTAGTCAATTTAGTACCTGCCTTGAAATTGGGTCTTGGCTTCAGAACAAACACACTCTCTCAGGAACTACAGAAAATGAAAACCCTTTCTGCAGCTAGCTATTTATTTCATGATTTTAAACAAAACCAAGCTTCTTGAAGAAAAGGAGAACTTTGTCCGAGATGTAAATGTTTTCTAAAGCAACATCGCGAAGCATGCGATTGATGACCGGAGTCCGCCAGCCTGAGCTGGGGCCATTGCCGCTGCCGCCTCCATCCATCTCCATATGCACCAGCAATTAATTCTCGTTTGGAGATAAGTCAGGAGATGCAGGAAGGCCTGGGAGCCGGCCCAGTGCCTGCCTTTCTCCGCATTCCTGCGAGGCTGGAATGGTCTCAGCCGTTTCGGGCCAGCAGGACCAGGCTGCGTTCAGGTCTTCCCTGACCCTCTTCAACTTGGGCCCAGTTGGCCCACAGGTTACACCTGACTCAGGTGCCTGTGCTTGATGAGGGGTGGACCCTGCATTTTTGAACCATCAGGAAAAAGTGGGGAGCATCTCTTGCCCAGAAAATGAGGCCACTCATCCTAATGATGTGGGTGGGACTAACCGTTCCCCTCACCATCCCCTGTTCCAGGGGCTCACCCTGCCTATCCATGGCCAACCCGGCAGAACCCCAACATCCTGCCAGGCCCTCAAGTCCATGACACACTGTCATAGAACTTCCCAGAAGAACTTCCTTAGCTAAACCAACAAGGAGGAGGGATTTTAATTAAGAATCCCAGAGCTAGAAAAAACCTGGAGAGGTGAAGAGGTTTAAACAAGGGATTTCCACCCTTCTCTTGCCATTACGGACCCCATCAATCAATTAGTCCCCACACCCAATAGGCCCCATGGTTTGGACGTTGAGTTGTTTTCCTACCAAACTATTAAGTAATCATGTGTGTCCCCATTGTTGGATTAGGTAGTCATTCTTGTTAGCAAGAAACAAACTGTTCCACTGTCGAGTAACCAGAAATCAAGCCAAAAGCAATGGCTCTTAACATTTACCCTTTCATAGGTTATTGGGCAAGTTCTTCTAATTAATATTTGAAATATTAATAAATAACTCGCAGCAAATTTATACACTACCTTCTACCATCCCAGGGTGGCTGGAGTCCAGGTTGGAAACCACTGGAATGGGTGGTTTGCTATTCTCCACATTATGTCAAAATTCGTGTCTTCCTGACCACATGTGCCCCTCTACCCTTGGGAATCTCCTCACCTCCTCAGGGTCCCCAGTCTACCCACACAGCTCCAACAGCCCCTGGGGGACCCAGAGGGCTGAAGGTGGTAAGAAGCCAAGAGGATCTGTCCTCCCATTTGGTACCCTCTGGCACCAAACATGTATAATACTCAGGTATTCCCATCCTCTGTGCCACACAACCTCCCAGTATCAGTTGAACGCCCCACAAAATGCTTCTCACTCTGCTGTCAGATCACAGGCCCGTGTTGTGAGCCCATTTTACAGACAGAGAAACTAAAGCTACCAAGGTTGAAAGCTCGACACACGCCATCCCAGAGCGAGAAAGCTTTGCACTGGGCTCCTGAGCCCTGTTCCTGCCCCTGACCTCACAGCTCCTGTAGAGGAAGCTGGTCCCAGGCCCCCAGGCTCCTGGGAAGCGCCTCTGGCCTCTGGGTCTCCTGAATCCCTCTCGGTTCACCAGCTTCCCCCTGTTTTCCTGGGTAGATGCTCAGAGAGTGGAGTCCAAACTTGAGCCTGCCGACGACCCGGACAGAGGCACGGAGGAGCAGGGAGAGCAGGTTTGCGGCCCCCGCTTCGCTCCCTGGCCTTGCTGCTCTGCTTGCTCTTCCCACCTCCCCTGCCATCCCTGCCTCCAGCTTTGGGGGACCAGCATATGGTGGAGACCACTGGAGTCTGTGGCGCTCCTCCCAGCCCTGGCTTGGTCCAAGCCCTGCACACAAAACCTTGAGAACAGGGCCAGGCTGACATGTCGGCTGGTGCACACAGTACAACTGAACTGCTGGTTCAAATATTTAAGTATGGCCAAAGCCAAGTTCTTCCTCGGGCCTCTCCCCAGGACACCCCAGATCTCCCCAAGATCCAGCAACTAGAGGGTAGTGCTTGGTCCAGCAAGGGGCTTTCAAGATTCTCTTCTAGAGCCCAGGCTGGTCCAGAGTGAGTAATTATTTAAGCCTTCACCACTGGCCGGGGAGCCTCAGGTTTGCGGTATTGCCCAGCCATGCTGCTGCCTGAGGAAGGCAGGGGGCTGGTGCCCGGGTTGTCTGGCCTGGACGGGGATATGCTTTTTTGGAGGCCGATCTGCCTGCTGGCTGCCTGAGCCGTCCTTCCCAGAGCTGCCCCCAATCATCGCTTTCTCTTCCAACACTGAAAGTGGAGGATATGGCCTGGACTGTGAGACAAGACTGTTTTGTTCTGGCTGACAGCAGTTCTAGGCAGAGACCCAGGCTCCCTTTTGTCTCGAGCCATTTCTTGGATGGAGGGACCAGACGTCGGTCAGGAAAAGCCTCGTTCTCTTTCAACGGGGCTTTGTGTCTTGCAGGCGGTGGCTCTGAGTTGGAAAAGCTCATCCTCCCACCAGGGGCTTTCTCTTTGATTTGTCTGGCACTGATTTCTAAAGCCAGAGGCAGTGGCAGGGGCCCGGGGCCTGGCAGTCGGGGCCTTTCTCAGGTGGTCCTGGGCCTGCGTTACAGCCCAGGCGAGGCAGGTAAGTGGAGAGTCAGGCAGAGGGTGCGGTTCTGCTGCTGGGCCAGCTGTGCTGCTCTTTGCATCATGGGAACCCTGCTCCCGGCCTCTGCCCTCGCTGGGTGCTGGCTGCACTGAACTGTCTCACGGCTCCGTTCTCTGTGTTGTTACAGCCTTTGGGTGGTTTTATCGTTATGATGGCAAATTCCCATCCATCCGGAAGGTAGGACAGGGCTGGGTGCTGTGCCGTTTGCCATTGAGTTTGCTGTGGGTTTTGGCCTTTTCCAAACATTGTTGTTTCCTGTCAACACTCAACAGTGTGACCCGGACTGTTTGCTCGAGGGCTGTGCTTCTCTGTCAGGCTGTCATCAGAGGGCAGGGCCCTGTCACAGAGGCATCATAGGGGGGAGGGTTCTCGGGTGAAACCTGCCCAGGCACAATCAGGCACCACCTGGGTCAGCCCCGGTGGGCACAGGGCATCCGGGGCAGGGGCATGGCAGGAAGCTGCTGCTTTGTCGCTCTGTCAAGCAGACCCAGCGGCCAAGACCGGAAGCTGAGGACAGGCAGAGGGAAATGTCAGGTGGGGTGTACACAATGCAGATTATGGGGCCGACTGAGCCAGACACAGACCAGCTGCCGAGGTGGGAGTTTGCTGCCTCGGGTTGAGACAAAGAGCCACACCAATCATAACTCTCCCTAAAAATATCTCTGCACGTGCCCCGGATAATGCAATTTTCTGGTCTCTGAGGCCTTAGATTTTCTCTCTAAACCTTATTACTATGTATCTCCAGGCCCCATAAACCTTTCTCATCCCTTTTCTTTCTAAATCACTTTGGCATTTCATTATGAAAATGCCGCTGTTAACATCTATAGATTGGACATTCAGGATGACTTGGCATTTGGGATCCAGGCATCAGCATAAATCTGAGTGAAACAATGTAGGTGTCATCACTCGACCGGCTCTTTCTGGCGGGATGTCTGGCCTCCAGAAACCAAAGCCTGGCCGCGGTGTGACCTTGATCATATGTAGCTTCTCCCTGCCTGTACATGGGAATATCTAATGTGCTAGAAACATCTGCCCCTTCCTCCAACACAGTACCGTTCAGATACGAAGACAGCACTATTATTCCTGACCGAGAGCGTCTTCCCCTAGGAGCACAGATCATGATTTGTCTGACACTGAGTAAGTCAGGACAGAGCCCCTTAGGGGACTCCTCTCCACACTGTGGTGGCCTCAGAAAGGACTTGGTCTCATCAAACTGTCCTTTCCATTTACAGGATGACCCTGGCTTAGGATGCCTCATTGCATTACATGTCGAATTCTTTCCTATATACGGTCTCTACTAGAATATAACTAGCCCACACACACACTACGGTCTCTACTAGAATATAACTAGACACACACACACACACACACACACACACACACACACACAGGATTCTACTTGAAAAACTAATGACAGGAGATGGGTAGGTTAAATCCTTCCCAGGCATTGATAACTAGGCAAATGTAAGAGAAGCGTGTGTGCGTCTCCTCCACACACACACACTTCCCCGCAGAGATCATGTCCCTTGAGAAGTGCTGTTGGTAAAGAAGTGGACCTGCTTCCCCCTATTCACTAGTTCAGTCATTCCAGAAATAGCTGGTATTTCGATTTCCATTTCATTTCCAAAAGAGAGGGAAATTGCTTCTAGGTAGCAGCAAGAACAGATCCACCCCATCTGCCTCTCCTTAGTCCCGACTGAAAGGAATATTTGCCATGAATTTAACTGACAGCTAAAAGGACACCAGAATCGTATTCCTCCTGCTGGCTCTGAAAATCCACAGCCACTTTCTCCAGGGCCACGTGAGATGCCGTGTCTCCCGGGAGCTGGAACACCCAGTGCCCAGGTAGTACACGTGGCCGTCTATGGCCATGACCATTGATGCACAACATCTCCCTTATTTGAAAAGCTAAAGGCTCCATGTCTCGATTTCTAACCTGGAAGTAATCCCTCTGGGGTTCAAAGCCCCCCAGCCAGTGGCTCCACAGAGTCTATGCCAGGGCCTGAGGATGTGTGGTTCTGACTAACCCTCTCACCAGGACTGCATGAGTGAATCATGAAGACCAGCCCTACTTGCAGGAGCCCACCATTTGGCAGGGAGGCAGACTCACATGCAACTAAGTACCCACCTGGAGCAGACTGTTCTGAGAGCAGTAGACAATGCTATGGGGCAACTTGCCCTTCTGCATCAGTAAGCAGGCGCTGCTTTCTTGGAGATGGGACAGAAACGGTCCCATGTGCCTGCCCCAGCCAGGTGCCCTGGCTCCAAAACCTTAGCACTGGTGGGGTCTTTTAACCAACAGAATGGCCATTCCTATCATAGTGGTGCCTGTGGGAGGCCATGCCCTTCCTCTAGCAAGCTGCCTCCAGGCACAATGTTTCTGGCTCTTCCTAGGGATTTGCTGTCTGAATCTATAACATGATAGCAGGGATTCATCTATCAAGTGAGCCAGGAGTCTAGTCAACAGGGTAGGCAAGGAACCAAGCAGGACTCTGAAGCAGAGAACCATTTTCTCAAGTGGCTCCTAGACTGATCTGGGATGGGTCCCATCCCTCAGATGGTGGTGGGTGGGATCATCTCCAGAGCACAGTACATGCACACAGAGGTGGGGGTTGTCTTTAGGGGGCAGGATGACTCAAGCATAAGTCCGTAATGGCACCTCCCCACCCAAGTCCTTCTAGCTGTTTACAATCGCTAGTCAACTCAAATCTTCATTCCTGGCCTTCGATGCTGGGGTGACTCAGGAATTCTGAGAGCAGGCCCCAGGAAGGTTTGTTGGGGATGGGGTGAGCTCACATGTGGGTTTCCTCCTTCCCCAGACATTCCCCAGAATATTGACCAATCGCTAGTCAACTCAAATCTTCATTCCTGGCCTTCTATGCTGGGGTGACTCAGGAATTCTGAGAGCAGGCCCAGGAAGGTTTGTTGGGGGTGGGGGAGCTCACAGGTGGGTTTCCTCCTTCCCCAGACATTCCCCAGAATGTTGATTCCCTGCTGACCCCTCCCCAGAGAGCTAGCTATATCCTCCAGGCGTGTGTGATGGAGTTGACACCTGCCATGCTCCCATTGCCTCCAGCTCATCTGGACACAGTAGAAACTTTGTGGGACCTGGAAGACTCAGGACCAAATCCTGGCACCACCACTTATTAGATGTTTGATGTTGGGCAAGAGAACTATATCATGTGGTGTCTACATATGAGACACCTTTCTCTCCAGATAATTGGAGAAGGCATGTGCCCAGATACTAGGAAATAAATGCAATGCCTTTTATTTATACAGTACTTTCATGTTTATAAAGCACATTTATAGATGTTATTTCATTGGCTCTGGATGGCAAGCTTATGGGGCAGGTATTTCTTCCATTTTGGAGATGAGTTAATCAGGCCCAGAGAGGTTAAGTCACTTAGCCAAGGTCACACAGCCAGTTAGTGAATCAGTAAACCCATTCTTCTGGCAAAGGGAATGTGTCTCCTACTCTGTAGTGAGTAGCAGTGGCTGCTTGTCATAAACCTGAGCTCCAATGCCCATGGGCAGAGCTGGGGGAGGGGCTCACTGTGGGATGGTTGCCTGGTGTTGCTGAGGACTGAATGCCCTGTTTGTGGTGCTGTGCCAGTGTCAACACTACCTTGTAACCCTTGTCGTGTAAAAAATGCCACATCTGCTCAGAAAGGAAAGGATAAGAAAGCCAAGTATGACAGCCTGCAGGAGTTGAGAAAGAATAAGAAGGAACTGGAGTTTGAGCAAAAGCTTTACAAAGAGAAAGAGGAAATGCTGGAAAAGGAAAAGCAACTGAAGATCAACCGGCTGGCCCAGGAGGTAGGTGACCTACTCAAAGGCCAGGTGAGCACCCCTGGGAGGCGGCTTGGTTGTTCCCCATCATGCTCCCAGGGAACCAGCCGGAGTTATTCTCCCAAATGGAGTCCAAAGGTGGAGTGAGCCCTGCCCCCCTCCTTAGTGGGGAGAGTGAGGTCATCCCACCTGCCCAGGGTCATCTGAGACTAGCTTCTGGCTTAGATGTATGTTTGGGGTTGAGACTGGCCTCCTTGCTCAGGTATGAGTCTGAAGCTAAACTCTCTGCTCAGATTGTAGGACTTAGGTCAGCCCTCCACACACCTGGCCAGCGGTTTGGGTCTGTGCCCTCCACCCCCACTGTATCAGAGTATGAGTCTAAGACTAGGCCTCTCTGCCCCAGGTGTGGCTGTGAGTCAGAGGCTCACCCCTCAGCGTAGACGTAGATCGGAAGTTAGCCTTCCACCCACCTGTCATTCCATCTGAATCCCCTCCCCAGGTTACAAGTTCAAGACCAGGGTTTCCCAAAGTGCCTGGGCTCTGAGGGTATGGGTCTGAGGCTAACCCCGTGCACAGGAAGGATGTCTCAGGCTCTCCCTCAACTAATCAGGCTATGGGTCTGAGGCTGCTCCCATCAGCAGAGGGTGTGTCTGAGGCTGGACCTCTTCAACCTGGGAATGTACCTAAGGCTGTTCCCTTCCAGACATGCCAAAAGCAGTCTTCCAGCATGAGTAATTCTTACTTCCTAGGTGAGCTGGGTGACCTTCACTCCCTAGCTGTTTGAGATAGCATTGGTTCGGCTTCCTTTCATGCTTCCGTGACAGATGGCCAAGCTGATTGCATTACAAAACAAGAGAAGTCCTGGAGAATGTGAAGTGCATTAGGTCTGTCACTAGGAACAAATCAGCCACAAAATTAAAAAAATTGAACTTGTGCTTCTGAGGACAAGGCAGCCTGGAAGGGAAAAGAAACGTAAAGTTAAATTCTTGGAATATAAGAGGAGCCTACAATAGGCCGTTGGTGGAGAATCCTAAGAGCCTCGGGTTCCGGCGGCCAGCGAATCCCAGGCAATGCATGAGCCCTTTCTCTGATTGTGCCTACAAGTGGCGTTAGTCAAACCAACACCTCGACACCCTCCTCCCACCTGTTCCCCCATCTTCTGGGCGCAGGTGAAACAAGCTTGGGTCTTTTTCTAGACAGCTGACACACCAACAGTACTTTGGGGATTTCTAAGAAACATTTCGTGTGTGCCGCCCACGTGTGACTCAAGTGAGCCCTTTGTCCTCTCCTTTGTGCCTCGGCCTTGGGTCCCAGGTGTCTGAGACGGAGCGGGAAGACCTGGAAGAATCGGAAAAGATTCAGTATTGGGTGGAAAGGCTCTGTCAGACTCGCCTTGAGCAGATTTCCTCTGCTGATAATGAGATTTCGGAGGTAACAGAGCCCTTCTTTCCACCTAGTCCCTCCTCCTGCTGCCTTCAGAGTGACCCGCCCTGGGGCAGTGGGAGGCACGATGGCCACTGTCCAGCGCACTCCCCCTTCCTCTCTTGAGGAGGGAGAACACAGCTGTTTTCCTGGGCTTGTCTCCAGAGTGACCACTAAGTCCCAGCTTATCTGAGATGGTCCCAGCTAGGCCCCTTGTCCTGGTTTAACTACTAAGAGTGCCACGTTCACTGTCAAGTGCGTTCCAGTTTAGAGGATGAATTATATGGTCACCTTATTTATCACCCATAATGTGGGACCCTCTTGCATGTGGGCATTCCCTACCAGCTGTCCGGCATGAGCTCAGGTGGCACCCGTGTGGCTCTGGTGTGAGGGTGGTGGGTCTCCAGCAGTAAGAGAAATCGATTAGAAGAGCCTTGTACTCAATGTCCTGTGAAGTGAAGCACTCGCCCCAAGACTACAGAACTTCCTTGCAACCCTCAGATGACCACGGGGCCCCCGCCTTCCATGTCTCCCCTGGCCCCACCCCTGAGACGCTTCGCTGGCGGGCTGCACCTCCACACCACTGACCTGGATGACATCTCTTTGGACATGTTCTACTACCCCCCCAAGATTCCCTCTGCCTTACCTGTGATGCCCCATCCTCCACCCTCCAACCCACCCTCCAAGGTCCCCGCAACCCCTGTCCTTCCGTCATCAGGCCGTGTGAGTGCCTCATCCTCACCCTGGGTGCAGCACACCCCACCCCCGATCCCCATCCCTCCCCCACCATCTATTCCCACCCAAGACCTCGCTCCTACCCGCCCACTGCCCTCTGCCCTGGAAGAGGCACTGGGCAACCACACGTTCCGCGCTGGGGACACAGGCAATCCTACAGAGGACTGGGAGGCAAAGAACCACAGCGGGAAGCCCGCCAATTCCCCTATCCCTGAACGGAGCTTCCCACCCACCCCAAAGGTACTGCCCCTGTTCTGCGTGCTACACTGGGAAGCAGGTGGAGTGGGCAGGGCTGCTGTTTCCCGTGTCCTCCACTGCCTCTGGGAGCGGAGACGGGAGGAAACATCACCCCACCCCACTTTCCAGGAATGAGCTCCCAGCCTGCATGTTGTGCACACCCTGCATGTGGATGGTTTCTGCTGATTTTGAAGTGTGTATTGTATGGGGAATGGCCTGTGGTACTTGGGATGAGCAACAGTGTATCGATGTTTGATGTTCGCAGTAGGCGCACTGTAGACATTACTAACTGTGATCAGTGACAAATCAAGGTACAAGGAAATCTGCATGAAGCTGCCCTCTCTTCCTCTTGGCTAGTGTGGGCTGGTGACATTCAGTGTAGTACTTGCAAGGCTGGGCTGGGTAGCCAGCGCACTAACTATGTCACAGCTGGTCATGTCTTGCTATTCGCCTAGAAAGCCTTGAGTGTGGGAAATGAATCCCCAGTTTAACAGGGGAAAAGGGGGTTCAGGGGAGCAATCGTAAGCTCTGTAAATGAAGCAATAACACTGTCCGATGCAGCATTTCCTATGGCACCAATCAACTCCGTTGGCTTGAAATGTAATCCCCAGAAATGTCTGGCCATCTTCCAGCTCCAGAAAAGATGAAGATGGAGAATTCCTAGAAATCTCCAACTTTACTATGAAAAGACCAGGGATCGTTTTCTTGGAATCAGGAGGCAGAACAGTGATCTTTCTAAAAAAGACATATTTCTTATTAATTGTTCAAAATCCAAAGACTACATTGGAAGAGGCAATCCTCAAGGAAGACACAGAAATTTAATTCCTGGGAAGGAAAAAACAAAATATTCCTCTGCTCCAGTAGCTGTGGGGCCAGGCTGGCATCAGAGCCCATGCAGCTCATGTCAGCTGGGGGTGTGGGGGTGAGGGCGACTGTGGCAG